AGGAGGTATGGTCAGTAAGTTTGCAGATGACACCAAAATTGGAGGTGCAGCGGAGAGGGAAGGTTACCTCAGAGTACAACGGGATCTTGATCGGATGAGCCAATGGGCCGAGGAGTGGCAGACGGAGTTTAATTTAGATAAAAGTGAGGTGCTGCATTTTGGAAAGGCAAATCAGGGCAGGACTTATACACCTAATGGTAAGGTCCTGGGGAGTGTTGCTGAACAGAGAGACCTTGGATTGCAGGTTCATCATTCCTTGAAAGTGGAGTCACAGGTAGACAGGATAGTGAAGGAGGTGTTTGGTCTGGTATGCTTGCCTTTATTGGTCAGTGCATTGAATATAGGAGTTGGGAGGTCATGTTGGGGTCTACAGAACATTGTTTCGGCCACTTTTGGAATACTGTGTGCAGTTCTTGTCTTCCTGCTATAAGAAGGATGTTGTGAAATTTGAAAGGGTTCAGAAAATATTTACAAGGATGTTGTCAGGGTTGGAGTGTTTGAGCGACAGGGAGAGGCTGAATAGGCTGGGGCTATTTTCCCTGGAGCGTCAGAAGCTGAGGGGTGACTTCATAGAAGTTTATAAAATCATGAGGGGCATGGATAGGGTGAATAGATAAGGTCTTTTCCCTCGGGTGGAGGAGTCCAAAACTAGACAGCATAGGTTTAAGGTGAGAGGGGAAAGATTTAAAAGGGACCTAAGCAGCAACTTTTCCATACAGAGGGTGGTGCGTGTATGGAATGAACTGCCAGAGGAAGTGTTGGAGGCTGGTACAATTACAGCATTGAAAAGGCATCTAGTGTATATGACTAGGAAGGGTTTAGAGGGATATGGGCCAAATGCTGGCAAATGGGACTGGATTTATTTAGGATATCTGGTCGGCATGGACGAGTTGGACTGAGGGGTCTGTTTCTGTGCTGCTCAGGTCTGTGACTCTAAGACAAGCTCTAGGGCCCTCTTCCGTAGATGTACAGATGCTTTGTGTGAATGCAGTCTTTTAATCTGAGTGGATGCATGAGAGACAAGGGGTAAAGATTTAAGCCAGTAAACCTTAACTCTAACTTTTCTGTTAAATTTACAGGACGTGGGTGTCGCTGCCTGGTTTAGCATTCATTGGCCTTGAGAAGGTGGTGGGAAGCTACCTTCTTTAACGTTGCAATTGATGCGCTGTAGCTAGACCCACAATGATGTTAGGGAGAGAATTCAAGCATTTTGACCCAGCAACACTGAAGGAACAGCAATATATTTCCATGTTAGGATGGTGAGTCGTTTGGAGGGGTACATGCAATGGGTGATGTTCCCAAGTATCTGCTTCCCTTGTCCTTCTGGATGGCCAGGTTTGAAAATGTTGAGGGAGCCACGGTGAGTTGCTGCAGTGCATCTTGTAGATGGTACACACTGGTGGAGAAAGTGAATGTTGAAGGTGATGTATGGATTACCAGTCAAGTAGTGCTTTCTCTTGAATGGTGTCAAGCTTCTTGAGTGTTGTTGGAGCTGCACCCAACCAGGCAAGTGGGAAACATTCTATCACACTCCTGACTTGTGCTTTGTAGATGGTGGACAGGCTTTGAGGAGTCAAGAGGTGAGTCACTCACCAAGATATTCATAGCCTGTGACCTACTTTAACAAGTTCTTCATGCAAAGAGAGATTCATCCTTAAATTGTACTGGAGAGGTATGGAGGGCTGATAACCCCAAATAGAATCACTGATAGAAAGAAATGTAATTTGATGAGGTAGAGCGGGTTGGGAGGAGGTGCACATGGAATAGATTGGCTGAATGGCCTGTTGCAACTCTGAACTCGACGAGAGGCTTGCAGGATTGTTGTAACTAGGTTCATTAAGATGGGATGAGTGGCCTTCCTCATTGATTAAAAGTTGTCAGCCAAGCATCTGACCAAAGCCATTAACAGGAGTGTGTGCTGTTTTCAGCTGTGTGACCTGTTTGTACTGAACTACTTCAAGAAATCAAAACTTAGGACCTTGCGGTTACACATTTCCTGCACATTCAAGCTGCTGCTATTTCAGGCCAAGTCAGTCTTTGTGACCTCAATCACCCCTCCTCCCAATATTGTTTGTTGTGGTACAATTCTCTGGTTTTACAGGTGTGTCCTGACATTCAGACCAACCAATCACAACTTTAAACATTGCACTCAAAGTTGCACTCAACTCAATCCTGCCGTTTCCAGTGAAATTCCATCCCTGTCCCTGAGGAACTTGTGGGTGATACTGTTCTGATTGACATAGACACTCATTTCCAGATCACCTTTCCTGACTGGGACCTCCCAGGGCATTTTGCACAGTCACTGTCACTGTCCCAGGTGAGAGAGGGCACTCACCTTGTCAGGCTGGCCAGAGAATGGTACCAGTCTGCGTGGAGGTTCTTGCACATCCAGGCTGATAGGTCCGTCTTTCTGAGGCTCCACTTTGACAGCGCAGTTCTTCAGCTTGCCCATGTTGGTCAGCCCATTGGTCTGGCTGATACTGACGTAGAAAAAGTCCTCGGTTTTCTCGCACTCGGAGTTTGTTTTGGGGCCTTTGTTGGTTGCTTGGTGGCTGGTGTCAAATCTCAGCAGGCCGTCCTGTTGCCTGAGGAGCTTGTGCAGGTGGGAAGCCTTGATGTTCCCGTACTCCAAGGCTTTGCAGTGTTTCTGTTGGAGATTCTGGCCTGAAATGAGGCTGCTCACACTCCCCATGCTGCCTTCGGCAGGACAGTGAGACAAGCTGCGAGTTATTCACCTGAGAGGTAAGCTCGACCTGGGTGTATAAGGCATCTCCAGTTGCCATAGCAAGTCCAATTCAACAACATCACTCCATGGTATTGCCCTGCAAGAAAAGAAAGAAAAGACAAGGAGAATCTAATTAATTAATTGTCAGCAGTGAACTGATCAAGGAGGTCTGACAGCATTGGGAGTGTCATTATGTGGCAAAAAAACACGGCAAATACGCTCAATGACTTGGCCTCCGCAGTCTTCTGCAGCAATGAGTTACACAGATTCACCACCCTTCACCTGAAGAAATTCCTCCTCATCTCATTTTTTAAAGGTTCGTCCCTTCCCTCTGAGGCTGTCCCCTTGAATCCTCGTCTCTCCTGCTCGTGGAAACAATCTTCTCTGCGTCTACACCATCAACAGGTCTCTCAGTATTCTGTAAGTTTCACTGAGATCGCCCCGCAGTCCTTCTAAACTCCATCGAACAGACCCAGAATCCCCACCCGGTCCTCATGCGGCAAGCCCTTCATCCCTGGGATCGTTTTGAGGAAATGTCACCGGACGTAAAACATTAACTCTGATTTTTCTTCACAGATGCTGCCAGGCCTGCTGAGCTTTTCCAGCAACTTCTGCTTTTGTATCATTCTTGTAAACCTCCTCTGGACACCCTCCAAGAGCAGCACATCCTTCCTTACAATGCTCCAAATGTGGTCTGACCAGAACCTTATACCGCCTCAACAGTACATCCATGTTCTTGTATTCTAGCCCTCTTGAAATGAATACTAATGTTGCATGTGCATTTCTGACAGCCAACTGAACCTGCATGGAAACCTGATGAAAATGCTGAACGCAGACTCCCTAGAACAGTCCCTTTATGCTTCAGATTTCCAAAGCCTTTCCCCATTTAGAAAATTGTCTGTGCCTCTACTCTTCCTACACAAGTGCATAACCTCACACTTTCCCACAATGTATTCTACTTCTTTGACTCTGACCTAGCCTGTCCAGGTTCTTCTGCAACCTCCCTGCTTCCTGAACACTACCCTCCCTCCATCTATCTTTGTGTTATCTGCAAACTGAGCAACTTGCCCTCCATTCCTTTATTGAGATACGTGAATCATTGTGGTCCCAACACTGACCCCTGTGGAACTTCACTAGTCAATGGCTGCCACCCTGAAAAAGACCCCTTTATCCCCACTCTCTGCCTTCAGCCAGTCAGCCAATCCACTCTCCATGCCAGCACCTTGCCTTGAACGCCACCTCATGAAGCACCATCCTGTGTGGCACCTTGTCAAAGGCCTTCTGGAAATGTAAATCGATCCAACGAAACATAAATGTAAGATGACTGAGATTTCAAGCAGGCTCTCTGGGCTGTATAAAGTGCAGATGTTCTGACTGTCCACACTGCCAGGGCACCTCCAGAGACAATTTGCAGGATTGAAAATGGAAATGAGAGCACTCGCTGCCTTGTCGGATCAAATTGATTAAAGTGACAATATAAGTAATTTGAAAATAAAATCTTCACATCTCGAGGGATAAGATTCCCAAATCACTCCCACTCCGATGTTTATCCTGATAAGGATGATTAATGAAATGGCCAAATTACAGTTTTATGCCATAAATATTGCTGGCAGAAATGAATGTGCAATCTTCTGACCTTGCAATTGTCTGACTGGGCTATGAGCTTTCATGTCATTACTCTCTTAAGGGTTGGGGGGGGCAGTGGTTGGAAGTATCTTATCTATTTTCACGGATGGCATCTTGGGATATTATTTGCCCTGTCTTAATCAGCCATTTCCCAGTTGAGGCTGAAGGATGTATGTTTTAATTATCTGTTTGAAAATGTTCCCACAGACAGATCACATCACACAGGGTACTCTCAGTCCGAGCTGATAATATTGTGGTGAAGAGGGCCAAAAAAAAAATTGCAGTAAGACTGTCTATGATCAGCAGCACCAGGTGTGTGTTGGAGCTGTGCAGATATCATCAGTTTAATGTGCGACTGAGGTTGGCACCTCCTCCGGTCTGTTCTCTGAATGTGCAACTGAGAAAGAAACAGTCTCCTGCTAACCTCATCAGTTGACTTTTAGGCGAGCGATTTCTCAGTTGCTGATTTTTTTATCCTTATTCATTGAAAGCGTTTAGAGGAAATGAAGGTTTTTTTTTTAAACAAAAGCCCTGTCCCTGCTTTTTCTGCCGTGGCCATGTTTAATTCCTCATTCCTGGGAGCTGCTCCCACTGCAGAAGAATGGTGTGAACTTGTCTCAGGCAGGAAGAAACAGAAAATGCTGGAGAGACAGGGTGACGCTTCCAGTCTGATACAACTTCTTCACAACTGCAGGGGGCTGGGGAAAGAGAATTCATTTGACAGCAAAGCAAGGGAATAGGAGCACATGCAACAGCTGGGATAGACAACCCAGAGGGGGGAAAAGAAACACACAGGGAGTGCTCAAGATAATAAAGAAGAGACAAACACACAAGTTGCTGGAAAAGCTCAGCAGGTTTGGCAGTTATCTGTGAAGAAAGATGCTGCCAGTCCTACTGACCTTTTCCAGCAACTTCTGGTTTTGTTCCTGATTTACAGCATCCGAAGTTGTTTTGGCTTTTATATAATAAAGAAGAGATATAGCTGAAGAGTAGGTGTTAATGGTAGGGGTTAACAGCAACAAATAGGTCAGTGCGACTGAGAGCAATTCCATACAATGAGACATGAGTTTTCCCTGGGTGGGGGAAAGCATAATCAAAATGAAGGGCATGGTGTGAAGTTGTTGAACTCAATGTTGAGTCTGGTAGGCTGTAAATTTCTGGAACAGAAAATGCAAGGTATTTCCTCCAGCTTGCAGCGAGCTTAGCTGGAGAACTGAGGCAGAGCTCAGACCGAAATCTTGGCATGTGTGTTGAAATGGCCAGTGAGCAGAAGCTCGGTCACTGTTCCAGAACAGAGAGGAGATGTTCCCCAAAGCGGTCACCCGGTTTGTGGTTGGTCTCATCTGTGTAGAGGAGACCACATTGTAAGACTGAAAGACGTACAATACAAGCAAACTGCTGCTTCACCTCCAAGGTGTGTTTGGGGCCTAAGCCAGTGAGAATGAGGAGGTAGAGGAGCAAGTGCACTCAATAGGAAAATGTTAACCTGTGACATCATGCCAAAATTCATCTCTCCCAACTGTCTTGTGATTACCCAATCATGATCTCATTTCTGCGTAGGATATTGCAGTGCAGAGATTAGATGCAAAATCACCACAGTGATTTTACTTCACTAATACTGAATTGGCAATAAAGTGCTTTCAAAGTGTGTTAGAGTTATAGAGTTGTACAGCACGGAAACTCATCCATGCCGACCACGTATCTTAAATTAGTCTAGTCCCATTTGCCAGCATTTGGCCCATATCCCTCTAAACCCTTCTTCTTCTTATACCCGTCCGGATGCCTTTTAAATGTTGTGATTGCACCAGCCTCCACCATTTCCTCTAGCAGCTCATTCGATGCACACATCACCCTCTGAGTGAAAAAGTTGTCCCTTAGGTCCCTTTTAAGTCTTTCCCCTCTCATCTCAAAACGTATGCCCTCTAGTTTTGGTCTCCCCTACCCTGGGAGTAAGGCTATTCATTTGATCCATGTCTCTCATCATTTTATAAACCTCTGTAAGGTCACCCCTCAGCCTACAACACTCCAGGGGAAAAAAGCCCCAGCCTAATCAGCCTCTCCCTGTAGCTCAAACCCATCCAACCCTGGCAACATCCTTAAGTCTTTTCTGAACCCGTTCAAGTTTATCAACGTCTTTCCTGCAGCAGGGAGACCAGAATTGCACACAGTAATTCATGTTGAGGCTGTGAAAGGTGCTATCGAAGTGCAGGATCTTCATTTCTTCCTGACCCACCAGAGAATGCCTCACACCTCTGAAAATAGACTCAAGCTGCCATCCTTTTGCATACCAAATCCTGCCTTGACACATAGACAGATGAGCTGCTTTGATCATGTACACGCAGTCTGATGACACATCATGAATGGGAAGATTTGGACCCTTTCCCTTGTTTGTGTGGTCTGTCACTCTGTGCATATTAAGCCTGTTGAGAGGTCTCTACACTTCTTTGTTCCACAGTTTGTCTGTATGTTCAGTGTTCTTGCTTTGGCTGAAAGAAATCTGTCGACCCCCTCCCAAATGTTTTTTGCATTTGTTTCAAACCTCTGTAATATGGCTCCTAATTGATGTATTCAATGAACCTACACCTGGACAATAGCCATTTCTTGAATTCACATTCGTTTGTTGTAAATGTGTGTTCGTTTCAGCAGAAAACGTGACAAACAGAGCTGATGATGTATTGGGAGCTATGTCTGCGTTTTTGAACAATTTGAGTAAGGGATGGGTATCATTTGGATTCAGCTGACTTCCCTGCAATCAAAAGTTCCCTCCAAAATGACAGGAACATGAACTTTGTCTTCAGAATGACAGGTGTCTTTTCCCCAGGATGGGGGATTTCAAGACAAGCAGGCATATTTTTAAGGTGAGAGGAGAGAGATTTAAAAAAAGACATAAGGGGCACCATTTTTACAGAGGGAGTGGTTCGCGTGTGGAATGAACTTCCTGAGGAAGTGGTGGATGCAGATACACATTTAAAAGACATTTGGATAAGTACATGAATAAATAATGTTTGGGGGGATATGGGCCAAGCACAGGCAGATGGGACTAGTTTAGTTTGGGATTATGTTCGGCATGGACTGGTTGGACCAAAGGGTCTGTTTCCGTGCTGTATGACTCTATAATACTGGTGGTGGTTTATACTGAGGGTCAGTATGGCTAGGCTGAGGGGAGAGGTTGAAAAGGAGAGTCCTTCATGGTAACCTCAGCTGGTGCAGGAACTGAACCCACACTGTTGGCATCACTCTGCATTGCCAACCAGCCTCCCAGCTAATTAGCTAAGCGACACACCTATTTGAGACAGATCATTCCTGTGAAGCAGGTTTTTCGAAAGAGTCAAGTAGACAGCTCATTGCAGTGCCACAA